TGAAATGAATTCGGAGGGAAGACTGAGACACAAGCCGAGCTTGGTACGCTGGTTACAACACCGGTCTAGCTCAGTATTAAAAAAAAGAGGAAGACTGAGACACAGGCCTGGCCTGGCACGCTGGTTACTACACCGGTCTAGCTCAGTATAATAAAAAAATATTAAAATATGTGACACAGGCCCGGCCTGGCACGCTGGTAAATATCATTCTTGTGCGCGAGACAGGCCAAGAATGATATACACACCGGTCTTGCACATATTTTCTCGTAAGTCTGAACCCAATCGAATTGGGTACACCGGTGGCTCAGCTGAGCCCTTATCGGGGACGCCCGATTTTTCAGGCCCTTTGAACAAGGCACTCCAGAAGTGATCTCTACATGACACGAAGATATTTGCATCAGTTAGCCGGGCTAGCATCGATCTTCAACAAAGCTGCTGCAACGTACTCAATTCTTATTAACTAAAGTCAATGTCGTCTGTATACTAATTTTGTCATCCATCGTTTACTTAATTCGTACTAACATCGGTCTCGACGAAATAACTACTTGAAGCACCGCCGCTTCATCGTACTAACTCCGGTGTCGTATAACTACTCGAAGCATCGTTGCTTTATCGAACTGACAACGCTCTTGTTACAATAATTATTCGCGCGAAGTCTAATCACTCTAACTCCGAGCTCCTCGGTAAAAATAATAATTCGAGCACGGCATAGGCCGGTCAAAAAAAATGTTGTACATATTGTTTTTGCAGGAAAACCTTCTGATTCAAGAAACTGGAGAATTAATGAAGACTCGGAGGACTAGCAATAATATCAATCGGTCAAGAATCCAAAGTACGAAGATCGAAGATAGCACTCGGAGGACTTGTTTACTTTTTCAAGTTGATGATTCTCACAACTTAAAAAAGTGGAGGACTTCTTGATGGGAAATAATACGCGGCTCGGCCCACATTTTCCAATTGTTTACGAAGAACAGTCAAACCCGACCTGTTTAATGAAATGGAGGAATAAGAGAATATTCCCCGAAGATGCTTCTCCCCCCTCCTATAAAAGGAGGGGTGCCCCCAATGTGAAGAGGGGGCCATTCCTTACAATCAAACACTCTTCCCTGCCAACTTCCTCTCTCTCTCTAGAAATTTGGTAGTTTATTTTCTTAAAGAAGCTTCAAGCTTCCATAGCTTCCATTAATGGCTTCTATGCCTAAATCATGTACCGTGTATACACCTCCGATATTAATAAAAATTCCCCGTTGGCAAGGTACCGCCAAAAAAGACCCGTGGTTTTCTCCTGATTTGGGTTTCCACGTAAAAATACTCGTGTTTATATTTTGGTGTATTTTTCAGATTAGTTTATCGTTTTTGCCGAGCGAAAACGATATACCGGTCGATAATTTACACCATCAAATAATCATTTCATTATACATTATTGCTTTTGAATCTTGTAATGGGAACAGATAATTAAGAATGGAGGGAGTTGGTATATGGTACATCCGGATGTACCTAGAAATATGTACATCCCGGTAGTACTTATTCTGAAATAAAGTAGTACTCATTCTCATACAAATATATATATATTCATTTTGAAATATGTAGTACTTATTCTAGCAAAGGTAGTACTCATTTTAAAATAAAGAAATACTCATTTTTACACATTTGTCTAATATACTTATAATAAATAGCATAGTGTTCATTCTTTAAAAAAACAATACTTATTCTCAAATAAGGAAATGTTCATTCTGAAATAAAGTATTGTTCAATTTTTTTTACAATTAAAAGGTTCAGTACCATCATCAACTTCTTCTTCTATTCGATTCGTTGCTAGTCATTTATACTCTCTGAGCATGGAGAATTTAAAATCCATGTTATTCATGTTTGTATTGAATAAGAATATGATAATTTTTATAAGTGCTGGTACTCCTTAAATCTGCTGGTAGTCATTGTCATATATAATAGTTCTTATATACGGAGTATGTTCTAGGCATTGGATAAAAAATTTACAAAATTTACAAAAATATCAAGCTGTACCTAAAAGAAGGTACAACGTACCATATAATTTACTGAATGGAGGGTGTAAATACTCATTTACTGAATGGAGGGTGTAAATACTCACGACTAGTTGAGTTTTCAAATTTTTGAATGAGATGGAAAGCTCCGAAACCCTTTGCAAAGAAGGCAGAAACTTCATTTCCCATGCCTTTTTTCCCTTCGAAACCGATTCCCCATGTCTTTGAAAGCCTTCAAGGAGGCCTTAAAACCCTGCAAGAATCGATCCTCCTCGTCGTCATCTACTCAATCACAAACTCCCTCGATTTGCACTCAGTTCGATTCATCCACTGCAAACCCTAGAAAGCCCCCCAAATCTTCTCTTTCCCGTCAGTTTCTTCGCTTTGAAGATTCAATTTCCTGCTCATCCCTGACCCAATCACAAAGACACCAAAGTCCTACCCATTTCAGTGTCAGAGTCAAAGATGAGAAAGAAGAAGAAGAAGGGGCGGGAGAAGAGAAGCCCATTGTATTTGGGAGGTCAAAGTCGGAGGCTTTTCTTCTTGACCACACAGGGCCGTATGAGCCTTTGGTTCTGTCTCCACAGGGCGAAACACCATTGATACAGGTAGTTTTACCTTCTAATAGTTAAAAGAGTTTATTTTGCTGATCTTTTGTTTAACTTCACTACACATTGCATTTTCTTTTTCAATTCTGCATAGGGTTTTGATTTAAACACCATTTTCATTTGTTTTTCCCCATCATCTCCTTTGGAGTCAAAGGCTTTGGGGTATGATGGAATAAAGCAAAATTACTCTGACTCCCATTGTGGGTCATCTGGAAAAAGCCGTTCTATGTATCAAACATAGGCGAACCTTTGAGGCACTGGGGTTGGGGTAATGTTGTTGTTGTTGACTAGTAGTTTTGTTTTGTTTGTTTGGGGACCATGGAATGATGATTGCAGACAATGGCCATGGATTTCTCTATTGCCAAACATTGGGACTTTATAAATTATGAGTTGTAATATCCATTTTAACTGTGACATGTCAGCAATCCTTACTTGTCCCGATGATTGTGTTCTAATGTTTTCCTGATGAGTTGATACTCTTGGGTACAAGGAAAAAAGGTTGGTTTGCTATGCTATCTTCTTGGAAACAAAGTTGGTAGGGTGTTGTGGTGCAAAAGAGATAAAAAGTTGTGGAGATTATCTAAGAATATGATTGATGTGAGTTCTTTAGTGCTGCAATGTAGGCCTGCTCATCAAAAGGCACCAAATCCCAAATACTTCTGTGGACTTCGTGATATTGCTCGTGGGTTGTTTGTTATAAGTGTCATAATTTGTTTTTATTTTTTGTATGTTCTCCCTCCCCCTCTGTGTGTGTCTTTTTTAGCCCCTTGTAGTTTTTACTTTGAAGTTCAGCATAGTCCCTCTTAGTTCTGTGGTCCCTCTTTGTACACAGTATATCTGCTCATTAAATTTTTAATGTCTTATATGATTATTTAGCATGGAAGAAAACGTTCTTACTTTGTTATTAGATTTGGTAATTGCATGCTACATTACAGTTTAAACCATGAATTGTATACTACATCTCTAGTTTTTTAGGGTTCATTTTTAATGTGGGTTGTTTTTTGCATGCATTTGGATACTTTGTATTATTATTACGGAGCATGCTTATTCTTTTCTTCCGTGCATCATGTTCTTGAGGTGCACACCTCATATGCGATTTGCGCATCAATGCGCCGTATCCCCTTTGCGCCTTAGTGTAATAGTGTGTATCACTGATACAAATCCCAAACCAATCAGGACTTATCAGAGGCGTAAAAAGAGGGCTTAAGTTTGACTGAGTTTAATTCTTTTATTAGCACAATAATAGGGCTTAAGTTTTGACTAAGTCTGATTATTTTAAAATGTGTTTCCATTCTGTTAGCACAATAATTGGCATCTGTTAGCACAATAATAGGTCCACTCTTGCTGTCATGGTCAGTTAGTCTTATCTTTCTGTTAGTGCCTAAAAAGTAGGGATATTTGGTTATTTCTTTGTATTCCAGCATTATAAATATGCTAGTCCATCCTCCTGGAGGGATATCAGTGAATCAATATATTTCATAGCATTGGAGATACTCCTTGGCTTCTATTACCTCTTCTCAGTGAGATTCTTATTGTGAGAGGGTTAGGAGAGAATTCATTCTTCAGTTTCTATCTTTCATTTTTCATACTACCGTCCTGCTCCTATCAATCACGCTCTTAACCACTATGCTTATCCATTGCTTATTTTCAGTATGGTATTTCATGGAGTGTTGTGGTATTTTTCAAACTTCATCTTGAACTTGTGCAACTATTATTCCAGGTACCAGCATCTATAAATTGTGGGCTTCTGGAGCATCAAAGAGGAGGAGTACAGTTTCTGTATGGTTTATACCGTAACAACTATGGAGGTGTTCTAGGAGATGACATGTTAGTGTCCTTCCCACTCTTTCCTTTGATTGTACTATTGTACTAATGGCTCCCCCCCCTCTCTTGTATGCAACTCAGATATGCTAATGGATCTGCAGGGGATTAGGGAAGACAATCCAAACCATTGCTTTCTTAGCAGCTGTGTATGGAAAAGATGCAGACTCCATTGGTTCAACCTCACTGACAGGAGGGGATCTTAAAAAGAAGGGCCCCGTACTAGTCATCTGTCCAACTTCAGTAATTCATAACTGGGAGAATGAGTTCTCCAAATGGTCTACTTTTAGTGTATTTGTTCATCATGGACCAAACCGTGAGTTGATATTAGACAAACTAAAAATGTATGGAGTTGAGATAATAATTACCAGCTACGATACATACAGAATCCATGGAAGCGTTTTATCAGATGTCCAGTGGGAGATTGTGATTATTGATGAGGCGCACCGGCTTAAGAATGACAAATCTAAACTCTATCAAGCATGTTTAGAGATTAAAACTAAGAAACGTTACGGTCTGACTGGAACCATAATGCAGAATAAAATCATGGAGCTGTTCAATCTGTTTGACTGGGTGGTACCTGGCTGTTTGGGCACGCGTGAGCACTTCAGGGAGTTCTACGAGGACCCACTTAAGCATGGCCAGAGATCAACTGCTTCAAACAGACTTGTGAAAGTTGCTGAAGATAGAAAACAACACTTAGTGTCGGTTTTGCACAAGTATTTGTTGAGAAGGACAAAGGAGGAGACAATTGGACATCTTATGCTCGGAAAAGAAGACAATGTTGTGTTTTGTGCAATGAGTGCAATTCAAAAACGTGTTTACCAGCGTATGTTACAGCTACCTGATGTCGAATGCCTTATCAATAAGGACCTCCCCTGTAGTTGTGGAAGCCCTCTGAAACAGGTCGAATGTTGCAAAAGGACTGTTAGGGATGGCATTATCTGGCCATACCTTCACAGAGACAATCCAGATGGTTGTGATTCCTGCCCTTTTTGCATTGTGCTTCCTTGTCTTGTCAAGCTCCAGCAGGTATTTTTTTTATTTTACTGTTTTTAGGCAATTGGCTGTGTCTTAGGGAGAAGCTCATAAAGGCAGACCCTTTCTATCTCCTCCAAACATTGCCTTACTTTCTGTTTAGTGGCATCTTATTTTGTTTACCAGCTATATCAACCTTATTTTTAACTAAAGATCTTATATTTTATTGCAATAATAGAATCAGTTGACATAAATAGTAATGCAGAAAGTACAGTTGTGGTTGAAGTTTCTGAAACCAATGGAAATGACACTTCTAGCCTCATTTTAGATAGCGTTATCATCATTGTTGTTATCATAAAAATTTTAATCTCAATTAGTTGGGGCCAATGACATTAAATTTATACTGTCTATTAATTCCATAAATAATGAGATGAAAATTAATTTATTCCCTTCATGACACAATCTTCTTAAGAAGGAATAATGAGATGAAAATTCTAAAACTGTCATCAGTTTCATCACCATATATTATTTCCACATGCAATGAGAATGTCATGATACCTCATCACATAGGTGAGTTGAGATGTTTGCTATTGCTCTGTCCATTGCATGTTTGATATTGCTAGACCAACATTTTAACTATGGGACGTGACCACAAATTAGATAATGTCATCTTTAATTATTTTGAAAATATATAGTTTTAATTATTTCAATAGTTCAACAAGTTCAACCCTATTAGCTAGTTTAGGTGCTTGTTGAGCAATTTCAGCCAAGTTTAGCCCTACAAAATGGGCTCCAGTGTTCAGTACACCTTTATTAAAATAAAATGAAGAAAAAATTTGATTAAACACATTATGTGACACTCCAAGGTGCAAAAAACTGCTGCCGGGTACCCCATGTTTTGTTGTAAGAACTTTCAGGTACCTCTATTTTTCAAAATATACTCTTAGGTACCCTAGATTTTGAAAAAATATACTAAGGGGAGATTTTCCTTCCCCTTTCCGTTTTTCCCCCTTTCTCCGTTACATTGCACCATCATCATCATCCATCATCACCATCATCATCCATTTCGTTCTTCCTCCTCTCTTCTTCTTTTTCTCTTTCTTCTTTTTCTTCTCCTCCACCCACTTCCAATCTCCCTGCCCCACCCCTCACCCTTTATTTCTTCTTCTTCTCCTTTTATTATTATTATTATTATTATTATTATTATTATTATTGTTATTATTATTATTATTATTATTGTTATTATTATTATTATTATTATTGGTATCATCATCATCATTCTTTTTTGTTAACAAAAAACCATCATTCTTATTATATTATAACTACGTATTATTATTATTATTTATTACAAAGTATTTTTTTCTTCTAAATTATTATTGTTAATATTATGAAGTAATATTTTCTTCTTATTCTATTATTATTATTATTATTATTATTATTATTATTAAAAATTAATTTATAGTTTCACTGTAAAATTGAAGGTGCCCGACAGTTCTAAGCACAAAATTAAAACTATGAATTAATGATGCCAGAATTAATGATGCCAAAATGATCTATGAACCTTGGAGAACATCTCTATATAGTTTCGTTGAAATTTTGTGCTTAGAACTGTCGGGCACCTTATTTTACAGTGAAACTATAAATTAATTTTTAATAATAATAATAATAATAATAATAAAATAAGAAGAAAATATTACTTCATAATATTAACAATAATAATTTAGAAGAAAAAAATACTTTGTAATAAATAATAATAATAATACGTAGTTATAATATAATAAGAATGATGGTTTTTTGTTAACAAAAAAGAATGATGATGATGATACCAATAATAATAATAATAACAATAACAATAATAATAATAATAATAATAATAATAATAATAATAATAATAATAATAATAAAAGGAGAAGAAGAAGAAGAAATAAAGGGTGAGGGGTGGGGCAGGGAGATTGGAAGTGGGTGGAGGAGAAGAAAAAGAAGAAAGAGAAAAAGAAGAAGAGAGGAGGAAGAACGAAATGGATGATGATGGTGATGATGGATGATGGATGATGATGATGGTGCAATGTAATGGAGAAAGGGGGAAAGACGGAAAGGGGAAGGAAAATCTCCCCTTAGTATATTTTTTCAAAATCTAGGGTACCTAAGAGTATATTTTGAAAAATAGAGGTACCTGGCAGTTCTTACAACAAAACATGGGGTACCCGGCAGCAGTTTTTTGCCAAGGTGATCTCTATGCATTTTCCAGTGCAAGGAAATTGAGATATATAATCTACCATGAATGATTCAATTGATTAATTTCTTCTCTTCTATATTTCTATGTTTTAATACCTAAAACTAAATCTCTCTTACAGATAAGCAATCACTTAGAACTCATCAAACCTAATCCAAGGGACGATCCTGACAAGCAAAGAAAAGATGCAGAATTTGCTGCTGCTGTATTTGGCCCTGATAGTGATTTGGTTGGGGGAAATACTCAGAGTGAGAGTTTTATGGGTCTGAGTGATGTCAAGCATTGTGGGAAAATGAGAGCTTTGGAGAAGCTTTTGTTCACTTGGATTTCACAGGGTGACAAGATTCTTCTTTTCAGTTATTCTGTGAGGTAAGTTGTGCGTTTCATTGGGATTTTTTCATTGTTTTATGCTTGTTATTTTGAATGAAACATGAAAATACCAATAACCTCAACCCATTGTAGTCTCATAAAATTTTCCATGCATGTGGAAATAACTTGTGACGATAACGAGACGTGAAAACAATCAAAACTGTTGTTAGCACATACCAACCTTGCCGTGATTATCTCGATCATTTCAAGAAAAAGTGATTACAGTCTAGTATAATATAATGCCATTTAGTGATTACGATCGAGTATAAATGGGAAGTTAATTGTATTTGTTTTTCTCAAGTGGTTTCCTTCATGTTGTTTTCTCCCTTTTCTCTCTTCTCTTGCTCAAGTGTGTTTTTCAAGTACAGGATGCTGGATATACTCGAAAAATTTCTTATACGCAAAGGGTATTGTTTTTCGAGACTCGATGGCTCTACTCCAACTAGCTTGCGTCAATCTCTTGTAGACGACTTCAACTCCAGCCCAAGCAAACAGGTAACTTTAAGGCGTAGATGGTGGAATCTAATCATGACAAGGTCTTCTTCACCATGAATTTGCACTCTTTCTCATTCGACCTTTAGGTATTTCTCATATCAACAAGAGCTGGTGGCCTTGGACTCAACCTTGTCAGTGCGAACCGTGTAGTGATATTTGATCCAAACTGGAATCCTGCTCAGGATTTGCAGGCCCAAGACAGATCATTTCGGTTTGGGCAGAAGAGGCATGTCATTGTTTTTCGTCTTCTTGCTGCTGGTTCTCTTGAAGAGCTTATTTACTCTAGGCAGATATACAAACAACAGCTATCTAACATTGCTATTTCTGGATCCAATGAGAAGCGATACTTTGAAGGTGTGCAGGTTAGAAGTCAACCTTTTATTTCTCTCCCCCTGTGGTATTTGTTAAATTGGACCAACTTCCTCATAGGGATCCTTAATAGGTGAGTTATATACTAGATGCAGTTGTGCTATTCTTATGGGAGAAGGGGAAAAATTCACAAACCTAAAACTTTCAGGATTGCAAAGAGTATCAAGGCGAGCTATTTGGAATCTGCAATCTTTTCCGGGATTTGTCTGATCAGCTTTTTACAAGTGATATCATTGAATTGCACGGGACTAAAGGCAACGAAGGCAGTGGAAGTTTTAAACAGGGCTCAAATGACCGTGAGGGGCATGTTATCCCCAATCAAGAAACTATTGGAGTTGAGGGAAGAGATGCAGCACTCAAGCTTCAAGACCTTGGTAAGTCTCTATCTCCTACCCAAAAGTAATCGAGTTCTTAAAAAAATGTTGTTGGTCAATCACTCTTGGCTGATTAAATTTGATGGCTTATAGGTGTTGTTTATGCTCATCGCAATGAAGACGTTGTTAACCTCCGAAATGTGGGAATCCCAATCAATGGGGAGTATCTGAACCAAACCACGCAACAGATGGATTTTCCAGTCATTGGCAGACGAAAATCTGATGCGATGAACGCGAAAGATGAGAAAGAAGATCACGATAAGGTGAAGACGCGTAAGAGAAGGCAGTTCACACGTATTGCCCAGTTCATGGGTATGGAAGATAAGCAATTTAGCAGATGGATACTGTCTGCAACTCCAGCAGAAAGGGAAATGGTGCTCCAAGATTATGGGAAGAGAAAGAAGAGTTCTGAGATTTCTCTACTTTGTGGCATGAAATAGTCTGTGTGATGTATAATGTATGTTTAGTTAGTTGGTCACAGTTATAGTTAGCAGAATGGTTCATAGTTTAGGAAAGCAATAAACACCATATATAATGCAAATATAACTAAAATGGTTTTACAGAATAATAATCTGGTTACCATTATAATCTGGCGTTCTTATAGGATGAAGCAGATTGCCAAACTGTTTCTTGGTTCCACATATTAATGAATATTTATAACAAAACTGAAAGAAATGAACTGAGGACAATGGCTGTCCTTTGAATTATTGCCCTGTTTTATTAAAAGATCATGGCAATTTTGTCCAAAAAGGTGTACTTTCTATCAACCGTATAGAGTCTCGCCACTTCTGCCCACTAGAGTTGTAAATGAATCGAAGATTTTTTGTTTGATTGTGATTTGTATTTGAATTAGCTTATTCGTATTTGATTTTTTCGAATCCAAATCTGAATACAAATCTTAATAAATATTTGAATCCTTATCAAATACTAATACAAACTAAGGGCATTCGATTCACGAGTTTGATGAATATTTTTGGAATATAAATTTAATTATTCAAATTATATACGGAGTTTGGTAAATATAATAATTTGTTTGATGTTGGTATTGTGATGGTGCGTGTGTTAATAGGTATGGGGCAATTTTTTTTGTTTACTCCATTTTTAGCTTCAAACCTCAAAAAAATAAGGGAAGAGGCAATTTTGGAAGGTCAACTTCAATTTTTTCTTTCTTAAATATGCTCCAAAGTCATCAGATCGGGGGGAGTACAACATGGATTGCTTCTATTTTTAATCATAAAAAAATGTGAAATAAGTTTTTTGAATTGTTGAAAAATTTTACTCAATACAAAAAACTTATCAATTAGATAAAGTAGGATATTTATCAAAATAGAGTATCAATGTGTAACACTCAACACAAAAAGTAAAATTTTAATATTTAAGTATTTTTAGGCTCAATAGGTTTATTAGGTTCATTCGATCCAATTGGTCTGGACCTAAATTATTTCAAATTTGGACGGGACATGACCAAAACCTAAATACCTAATGTTTTTAATGCCTTTAATTTAATTAAAAAGGAAGGTGAGGTAGAAGCATTTTGGGAAGTCAAACGTATTTTATTCCAACATTGCACTAAAAAATGTATGTATGGAAAAGAAGACATGGGATGGAGTATGGGTCACCATAAAGGCCCATCGAATTGCTTAGGACCTTAATGTTCCTATTTGCTTTAAGTATCGCCATGTCCCACGAGCTTTCTTTCACTCGTTATTTCCTTTTAACCGGTGATTTGGTGGTGAAGGAAGGAGCGAAGGAATCAAAAGAACGCGGGTTTGAATGAAAAGTCAGCAGTAAGGTGCTCGCTCGAATTTAATCTCCACCCCACCGCCATTTGACGCCATAGCCACCGATTGACGCGGAGAAATTACCCCAAATCCACACAGAAACCACAAACCAGCCACAATTTCTTGAAGTAATACGGAATTTTTTCCCTTCAAGATTTCATTTTGATCTGCGGGTTTTGGTGCTCGCAAGAAAGGGAGGCACAATCATGCCGGGAGGAAGAGAAATTCTTAACAAGATGAAGGTAGTAAGTAACTTCAGTGATTTCCAGTCTTGATTTCTGTTTTCTTTAGCTTTTTTTCTTTTTCCTGTTACCCAGTTCTTGTTTTTGATATGTTGCCTACAGTCAGAGGAGTCAAGTATTTGATGTTCACTTTTTTATCCTTCTGCTACCCAGTTTTTTATTTTTAATTTTGTGGGGGTGGGGGTATGTTTGCTTTATTAGAAAGTTCTGGAACACTGTTGAATACTTGAGTGATTTGTGGAAACTTTATATGGTCTTGATTTTTCAATATGTGCTTTTGACCTTCGTTTAAGATTTTTGAACTAGCATTAAACTTTTAGACAATGCTAGGGGAACCCAATTTTTGACACCAAATTTGTCTGTTTTTTTTTTTGCCCTTGATGTCACACGTTGCGTCAAAAGCGGGTTTCCCAGGCGTTTTCCTGAACTTTTAGCATAAACATTTTCAAACTTCATATATTCTCATGTCTTGCTTATGTGATCCGCATTCGCCATCTCAATTTGAATGATCTTAGCTCTATTCGGTTATGTATATTGGTTCCCTTCAATTTGCATATAAATGTTGTAAGAATCTATATCTGTTAACATACACGGTTACTTGGAAAACACGAATCATCTGCCGCTGAATCTTTTAGCACATTTTGTGTCTCAGGAGAAGGCGTGCTTTTACACCTCAACTGTAGGCTCACCGGACACAGGGAAAGGTAAAAGCACATCAAAGAGGATCACTCATGGCTTCCACCTAGTGAAAGGAAAAGCAAATCATGCAATGGAAGATTATGTGGTTTCAATGTTTAAGCAAGTCGATGATAACGATTTGGGCCTTTTTGCCATCTTTGATGGGCATATGGGTCATGATGTTGCCAATTACTTACATTTACACCTATTTGACAATATATTAAAGCAGGTGACCTTTATATATATTAGCATATTTCTCTAGTTATTATATGCTATTTTCCAGAGTTCTCCACTCTCTTCGTTTCTTTCACGGGGATTCTCTTTGAACAGCCTGACTTTTGGACTGATACTGAGAATGCAATAAGGAGGGCTTACCATGCAACGGACAGTGATATACTGGAGAAATCAATGCACCTTGGGAGAGGAGGCTCAACTGCAGTCACAGCTATACTGATAAATGGTCAAAAGCTTGTTGTTGCAAACGTGGGAGATTCTCGCGCTGTCATTTCCAGGAAATGTTCTGCCAAGCAGCTCTCAGTTGACCATGAACCTAACAAAGAAAAGCCCGTCATTGAAAGCAAAGGCGGTTTTGTATCAAACCTTCCAGGTCTCCTTTTATTCATCATTTAAAGGTTTTCATTTGCGCGGTTAGTAAGGAACAACTATGGATTGTGAAAGAAAATTGCTAAATTGCACCCACTCTTTCCCCTTCCTTTTTCACAGACACCCACAGGCCCAACAACAATCGCATGTTTGTGACTCTGAGACTCTGTGTGTCTGTGTGAAATGGTCAAGGTTTGTGACGACAACCCAGTGTGAAACAGAAAAGGCTGGGGGAATCCAACTTTTGACACCAAATGCAAACACAAACAATAACACTGTTTCATGTCTGTAAAGGTATTGAAGTCAAAAGTGGGGTACAACTTGAGGTTCCCCGAGCATGGCTTATAACTTTTTGTGCGAAAGTGTCTCGTGAGTGTATGTCTGTCTTTAGTGTCACAAGTGGGGTTACCCTGGCACTGCCCTTTGTAAAATAGGGTGATGTGTTTTTTTCCATATTGGGTGATGGTTTCTAGTTCTTTTACAGGCGATGTCCCTCGAGTTGATGGGCAGTTGGCCGTTGCAAGGGCATTTGGAGACAAGAGCTTGAAGAGGCACCTGAGTTCAGAACCCGATGTGAAAACCGAGTTGATCGATGATGAAGTCGACTTCATCATTTTGGCGAGCGATGGGCTATGGAAGGCAAGTTTTTGTTTTTTTTTCTTTCTCTTTGTATAGCTTTCGGCCACCTCTTCGTGTCGCATTTCTCAATCCCATTGCTTGCCGTTTCACCAGGTGATGACAAATCAAGAGGCAGTCGACGCGATCAAGAAAGTAAAGGATGCAGAGTCAGCGGCCAAGCTTCTGGCGGAGGCCGCGGTTGTTAGGAAAAGCAAGGATGATATATCATGTATAGTTGTTAAGTTTCAATGAGTGTTTTTCGGTGAATATATTTTTAGCCCAAGTTATTTTGTGTATAAAGACGATTGTTTGATGAGAAAACTTTTCTCTGCTTAGTCTATGCTTGTATGTATATACTACCTATGGATTTACAATGTATTGCTGCCATTTTTTAAAAAAGTATTTAAATGTCCCAATTTAAGTTGTCTGTTTTCTTTTTCGTTCATCTCTAATAACATTGCGTGTTTCCTGAAATACCCCTCTTAATTATTTCACTCCCCACCCACCTTTCCCTCACCCACATTCCTCGTTATGCCAACTTGTCTTCCTCCCCTTTCCAATTGAAATCTTCTTCAATCTTTTTCTCCTTTCGAATTGAGTAAATACTAAATACCTTAGGACCAAGAAGAAAAAAAAAACACTTTGAGAATGAATACTCCTAGTTCTGGTCATACATACAAAATATTGAATTAATATGGGTAATGTATATACTACTCCTTTTATCCCTAAAAGTCTTTTTCATTTCTTTTTTCTTTGTCCAAAAATCCCTTTTTCATTCTAAGTACACATTTTATAAAATTAAAATTAATAAGATTTCATTAATCCGTTGAATTTAAATGACAGTTATTCAGTAAGATGAACTTCGTGTTGATTTCTCTTCGACATACATCTCACATTTGTGGGACATGATGGTGTCAAATTTAGAGATATATTCCATGTTAATTTATGAAGAAATGCATAATTAACATGTTATAGTCTATCATGTCATAAACTGATGAAAGACTCACACATATAGGTAACAAAAATTTTATTATCTTTTCTCAATAGTAGTGAGTACATCAAACTTAAAAATCCATCAAGAACATAGCCTCTGGCTATGAATATACCCTTCTTGCTCAACATTAGCTTGTCAGACTCGAACACCATGCAGGAACTATGTTTGTCAAGAAGCGAGCCTGACACGAAGTTTTTGCATATGTTTGGCACATAGAACACGTTATTAAGGGTGAACTCCTTATCAGATATCATCTTGAGCTTCACTTTGTCCAAATCTTGATCCTCAAATTAGACGAAGTTTCCCATCTACGCCTTGTCGTGAGAAGTTCCCTTGAAGTCAAAGAGCATGACCCGGTTAAGCAGAGGGCCTCATCCTTCTTTTGCTAGTTTAGAACCGAGCTTCTTGTTATATATCCTTGTTTGAATATGTCCTTTTGGAAGAACCCTCTTTGGATGGATGCTCAACTACATTGTCCTTATTAGGAGTTAATTTCTTCTCGCGAGCAAGACCCTCTTCATAGATTCCAAGACAACCAAGAAACTATTCCAAGGCCATTTCTTTCTGTTTGATCTTTACATAGCTTCGAAAGTCATCCCAAGCCAGCGGGAGCACAAAAATGATAGCAACTACATGGAAGGTCTCACTGACTCCCATACTTTTGTTAGTGCACTCATTAAATGACGATCGATTCTTCAAATTTACTGACAACGTGTTTGAAATCCAACATCTTAAAATCTAATACCTTACCAAACTTAGTCTTTGTGACACTTCCTTTTGTGACACTTCCTTTTAAGACCTTACCAAACTTAGCATTTTCCCGCAAACTTAGTCTTTGTGACACTTCCTTTTTAATTAATATGAGTAATGTATATACTACTCCTTCTATCCCTAAAAGATTTTCTCATTTCTTTTTCATTTGTCCAAAAATACCTTTTTCATTCTATTAAAAACTCATTTTTACCTTTATTAAGTCTTACCTTTTCTATCATATCATCCATATTCATTAATAATTTATCAATCACATTAAGGGTAATTTGAGAAAATTAACACAATAATAGCATTTTCCTAAATTCTACTCCCTCTGTTCCTTTAAACTATTTCCATATTGACTTTGGACCAAAATAAGGAAAGTGTAATTTTGGTTGACTTTCAAATTTCGCCCATGATGTGATGGGTAAAAGTAAGATGTGATAGTTTGGTTATTAGTGAAAAAGTATGATGTGATAGGTAGGGTATAAAAAGTAGGGATAAAAGTGGTATTTTAATGGAAAATAAAAGTGTTTTATAAGGAATTGGAAAAAAATGAAAGTGGAAGGGTTTTATAGAACGGAGGGAGTATAAAAGTCCAAATAACACACGGTGCTGAAGAGTCTTAGGGCTTGTTGTCTTCACCTGATCTAATTAAAATAAGTTTTGATCTGGTCTAATTTGATTGTATTTATATTTAAAAAAGTTTCTGATCTGATTTAATCTAAATTGATCTGGTTGTAATTAGAGTTATTAAAAAGCAATCGAGTAAATTCTCAAAATGGTACTCAATAACTATATATGTGTTTCCCAAATTAGTCCCTAAAATGAATTAATTATGGAGATGATACTCGTTAATTAAAAATAGTGTCCAGTTTAGTCCCCCGACTAACTACCATCAAAATAGGGTCAAAATGACATTAAAACTTATACTTATTTTCCAAAATGATCATTTCTAACCGATTTTTTCCAAATTAGTCAATTTTCGAAATAAAATCTCATAAAAAGTGGTCTCCCGGTTTCATCCAAACACCGTGAATCAATTAAAAGGGAAGAATCGTGCTCCAATTTTTTATATTAAATGATTTTTTTTACATCGAAAATAGACTAATTTGAAAAAAATACCAAATTATATATAATCGTTTTGGAAAATTAGTATAAATTTTGACGCTCTTTTGACGACTGCTAGTCGGGGGGCTAAACTGGGCATTATTTAGCGAGTACCATCTCGGTAATTTGTTTATCATGGGGAATTATTTGGGAAAACACATACTTATTGAGTATCATTTTAAGAATTACTCTAAGCAATATGAATAAGTTAAAAAGAATATGCTCTTAGACTCTTAAGGCATGTTAAGGCATGTTCTCTTCATTTGATATGAACTGAATTAAATAAAATAAAAAAGTAATAAATAATAAAAATAAGTTGAGAATAACCGATGCACACTACGTAGCAAAAGGAGAAAAGTAAGGAGCATTAATTGTTTAACATTTCTAAGCAAAAGAGAAGTTCTGAGACGGAAGAAGCATACAAAGATAAGAGTCTCACTAGTGATGCAAGTGTAACAGAGTAGAACAACTTTCTAAAAATACACTCTCCCAAATTATTACACTAGTATTTTTTCCGTGCTTCGCACGGGCTCGTATATTCTTACATAAAATATATCTATAAATTTTATATTTCATTTTTAAAAAATGTGAAATTAAAAATAAATTGGAATATGTATTAAAGTCGCTATGATACGCTGCACTATCAATATATAAAACATGTGATGGTGTAAATTACCTGACCGGTCAGACTATACTAGACCGGGTCTAGAATAGTCGGCTTGATTCAGTAAAGTAAAGAAAATAAAAACACTCAGAATGACCGGTAGGACTTTAGGTGGAACACCTGTAGCCCGAATTGTATTAAAACAAGGAATGCACGGTCACTTTTACAAGGGAGTTTAGAGAGAGTGAATTCGGATCCCCTTCTTCGAGGGTTACAAGAGGTATATATACTAGGCTGAAGGGGGGGGGGGCAAGACCACGGTCACTTGTCCTCTTGCGTAGGGGGCTGCGCCTTCGTCGTGTTCTGGTTTGGAAAGATTCCTTCAGCATCTCCGCAATTCCAACCACTATAGTCCAAATCCTTTTGGATTCCTCCTGCCGACACTCTCCGATCCTCGAAAACTAGACCGGGTGATCTTTGAGGGCTGGTTTGGCTAACTTCGGAGGATGAATTTAGGCGATGGAATAGTTTGACCGGTATACTAACCCGAAGTGTACCGGTCAACTTTCTGGTCAACCAGCCCTCCCTTTGCTGACGACTCAGATCTTCCTTTCAAGTTTGACTTCTTTGACCGGTCAACTTTCGGATTCGGACCCTTGACCGGTCATGGGTGAAATACACCCATCAATAAGCCCTCCACTTCTCGGTTATGCAATTTTGTCATAAGCGGGAAGTAAAAAACCTGAAACAGGACTTTTAAATTCGAATTTTGGCTTTTCCCGCCCGAAATTTCAAAATTTGAATTTCGAATTTTGAATTTTGCCACGCGTCGCCCACCAACCGTTGCAACCGTCGGCTGGCAGACCCGTCGTTTCGTCTGCCCGCAGGTCATCATTGCGCCGCCCAACGCGGCGCGCTCTGCATGGGCCACGTCGCCCTTACTCGCCTATATAAGCAGCTCTACCCCTCTCCATTTCTCACTTCTTCGTGCGCGTCTCTCGAGTTTCACCGGTCAAGCTCCCTCTCTCTAGCCTTCCAGCCCTCCGAACCAAGTAAGCTTCTTTCTTTCTTCCTTAGTTTTTCCTTTCTTCTCTGCCTTTCTCACCGATCAATGTCTTCCCCGGATAGCCAAGATATTTCTGCCTCGGATGCCCGCGCATCCGAGGAATCCCTTTCCTCTTCTTATTCGACCGGGTCATCTTCTCCCATCCCTAAGCCCCGATCGAATCCCAACTCTAGCATCCCTGAGCCGCAGCCGTTAAACCAGATGCCCGGTCACCTTTTTGCAGAGAGGGAGGAGCCGGTCAATGACGAACCGCCCCCCTACGACCCGGAAAAAGAGACCCGGGACCAGTGGGTGGAGAGGTTAGATGCAGCCGGTTACTCTCCCCTCCCCACCTCCTTCGTTACAGACATATACCCCCATGTTTCTAAGATAGCCTTGAATAAAGCCCGTAGGAACCTCCCGGTGGGCTATGTCCTCGAATTCGACGAGAGCTGGCCCAACATCATCGAACCTCACCGGGAGGATAGGATAGGTTTTCATATCGCTTCCTTAGAGAGCGGTATCGTTTTTCCCCTCCGCCCCCTCTTGGTTGAGTTGTGTCACTGCTTCGGGATCCTTCCCGGACAGATAACACCCAATGCTCACCGGTTGCTTAACGCCTTTGCCAACATCTGCACATCTCTCCACATCGACCCCTCCCTTTGCCTCTTCCTTTATATGTTTGAGGTTCGTCCCGGCAAACCGGGTTGCGAAGGTTTTGTCTATTTTAAGGGACGAAACAATCGTAAGTTTATCTCTGACCTTCCACAAAGCAACCGGTTGTGGAAGGAAAAATTCGTCTTCATAAGATTTCCCCCGTCCGTCACTCCTTTGGCCGGCTTGAAGTGGAGTGACCATCTCCTCAAGCACCAGTTCACCGAACCGCCGGCCACCCCGGATCTGGAAGAGAGCCGGGAGCAGCTTCTCAAAGGGGACCCCAACACCGGTCAGATGTACCATTACGGGGGTTGGGTCTGGCGCGTCCAACCGGGTGACGAGGGTTCCTCCCGGGCCCATGAAGCAGCGGGGCGCGGGGGACCCTCCCCGGGCAACACTGCGGAGGCTGGAGACCCAAGTCACCCAGGTATCCACTTATTTCCTTCTTTGCTTTCTTTCCCGATTAAACCGGTCATAGCCTGAATACTTATAGTTTTTTTTGCTTGTTTTGTAGACATGAATTTCAGAGCTTACAACATGCCGAAGACAACCGGTGGTTCTTTTTCTTCGGCCCCCAAAACTGTCCTGGTCTAGAAGGAGACAATCGAAGTTCATTCCGAGGATGAAGCCCCTCTGACCGGGGGAGCTGCCCAGACCAGCAAGGCACTGGTGGATTCCTCCCCCCACAAGGGAAAAGGAAAAAAGAGAGTGAAGCATGCGGCCACCACCCATCCATTGGCCAAGAAAAGGAGAGGGGAACATTCCCCGGTCAAAGAATTGATGGAAGAGCTATGGGTCAAGATGACCCTCAAGCTGAAAGAGGTAATATTCTCCCGGTATGTTATTTTCAATGACTTGCTTTTTTACTTTTCTAACCGGTTTACTTCCCACTTCGCAGATGGGCGAGGTCTGCCCGGAAACTTTGGAGAAGCTCACAAATGACTCCCCTTCCCGGTCGGCTTAGTTGGAGGAGAAGCTGAGGAGAGCTGAGGCTCATAATCGGGAGCTTAAGGATCAGACCGGGCGCCAGCTCGATGAGGTGGCCAATCTCGCCCGGATGGCCGGGGAAGCGGATGCTGAGATCCTCCGGCTGAAGGAGGAAAACCTGAAGCTTATGGAGGATTTGGAGCTAAAGGAGAGAGAGTTCCCCGGCAGGGCCAAGCAATGGGAGGGGGAGAACTTGGAGGAGACGGCCCGGGTGATCACTTCTACTCTGGAGACGACGATGGAAACCTTCAAATTTATCTACCGGGAGGCGCAGGGGAAAGAGATGATCACCCAGACCGGCTCATACGGTTTCATGTCTGGGCAGAAAAGAGACCGGGAGGCTACACATGCAGTCTTGATTGAACGCGACCCGGCTTTTTCTGCTGAAGCGTATGGCCTGGCCCCCATTCCCGAAGAAGAGCCTGAACCCCCTTTCCCTTTGCAGTGAATTCTCCCCGGCTGCGCCCGGTCATCTTTTGTAAACTTGAAAACTTGAAATTTCCCCGGGAATGCCCGGTGTATTTTTAAACAATTAACATTCTTATTTTGCTTGAATGCCATGTTTGTTTTTCGTACCGGTAAATCTTCCATATCTGCTTACTCCTTGATTGATAATTCGTTATTGCTCCTTAGAATACCATCATAGAGATTCTTACCGGTACATAAATCAGGCCACTTTCCAATTGTTTTCGACCGGTAGAACTTCCAAGTTTTTCTTGATCACTTTACTTGAAAATTCAGCTCGAGTAACTTTGATCGGTTGAACTCCAACTTGGTGGTCAGTTTGAAGAATGATTGACCGGCTAGACTTCTTTTTGGCTTTTGAACACCTTCGTTCTTGTTTTGGAGGTGAAGCAAAGTTTGACCGGTAGGTCCCTTCTCCACGGTCTGACCGGTGAACTGCTTCGCCTTGTGGAACTTTCGAAGTTCCTCTGTATCAATACCCAACCGGGGTATTCTTTTTTTTTTTTTATGACCGGTAGGTTGTAGATGGAACACCTGTAACCTAGTAATTTCTTGAAGTATCCTTAACCGGTAAGAATACTGGAGAATTAACCATGTTCGAATGGTTTCGAACCCTCTCCAAGGTTCAAATGCACCCTTCTTCCAGGGCCCCCTCTTCCGGGTGATTAAGTCTTTTAATGGCCCTTTGATTTCTACCATCCCGGGAAGGCCTTAGCTCACCCCCC